AAAAAAAAGATTTTCCATACCAGTTCACCACATACTTTCCTGGCCCACGCTGAACTTGCTAAATGTCTTCATTTCTATTTAGGGATTATAATTATTGACAAAAATCCAGTAATTTCTTATAACACATTAACACTTGAAAAAGTGTTCAGATTTTTCAGAACATATGGTGATTTATAAGTAAAATATACACACTTGTGCAGGCACACACTCCCCTATACACAACTAAAGACTGGGCATATATTTATTAGATAAATCATTCAAATGTTTGACCATTAGAGGGCAGCAACTATTAGGAAATTTTATACTTCTACCTCTCCAAAGAAATAACCCTTGATAATATTTTGTTGTAGAAAGAACATAAAAATTATGTTTTATCTATTTCAAATGAGAAACCTAATGTGTATATAGTTTAAATATATGGGTTAAGAAAGAGATGTATGCTCATAAGGAAAATGTTCTCATTTTTTGTGTTAAAATTTTACCATTGTGTTTCTATCAAAAGAGTCTTGGCTTTGTGTGGTTTCTCCATTAGACCTTAAGTTTCTCCCTATTTCCACCTAAAAAGTGTTCTTAGGCATTTCTCAGAAAGCTAGACATATTTAGGAATAGCTATCAAATACAGCAAGCCCTGGACTTTGTATTTTCTCAATCAACCCAGTTTACCCACTAATTTCTATTTTTGTTATCGAATTAAATAAATCCTGAACTTTTGTCTTCTTTCAAATCCAGCTGATTTGGGTGCTTCTAAACTGAATCCACCATTCAAGGTTATTGTTTATTGTCATCATTCTTAGCCTATAGCTTTTGACAAAAATAGGGAAATGATAACACATATGGCATATACAATGCTATGTGGTTTGTTTTGGATATCATTTAAACATTCATTTCCCATTACTTCTACATTTTTTATTCACAAAATAAGTAGAATTTTAAGGCTTTTGTTCAATATATTTAACATGGTCTACTTTTCACACCCAATCATTCTGAATAGATGACTCTAGTTGCCCTGTATAAAAGGCAATTTGTTCTGAGTTTCATCCTACCATCTTCCTGAACCACTGACCATAAAGACCACACCTTGATCCCTCTTAGAGAAGCCAGTTGGCAACAGGTGACATCCATTAAAGGCAGGAGTGGCATGTTCCTTACATCTTCCTGTCAGCCCTCCCCCATGGAGTTCTCTGGGGATGGTTCAGCCTTGGGAGCTGCTTCAATGGAATGCTCTGGCAAATGCAATAAATGTAGCTTTCTGCTTCTGACAACACTAATTAGTCCTGGTCCCACTAATTAAAACTTTGAAATAAAGGAGTCTTTAAAGTATATGAGTACAATATAATAACTCATTAGAACTATCTACTTTCAATTAAAAATTGGTATCGTAATTTTAGATTATCTTTTTTCATTTATTAATATAACAGGGTTCTTGTACTCTAATTAAGGTTACTCAATTTATTTTCTTCTCCATATTTAAAAATAGTCTATTCAAAAATAATTAGGACTAGCTTGCATCTTTTAAATTAATACCATTTAAAACAACTGGGGTTCTAATAAATCTCCAGATAGTCATAGAAAAATGTTGTTCTCTTTTATAGAACATGATATGTGCTATCACATTACAGTAGATTTGATTTCATTAACACTGAGGATGTCATGGTCAATAGTCTACTTTGATTACCCAAGAAAATGAACACCCTATTGTTACAGCAGTTTTCCTATATATTTCCTGAGGTTTCTATACATCCCTTAATATTTAACTGAGTGGATTTATACACAGGCATGAAGAAGAGATGATTTTGGAAAAAAATGATAATAATCTCCAAGATTACAAAATATCATAGAGTTGCCTCTTCCAA